CATCAATGTTGTGAATATTGGAAATCGTATATCTGTTTCAAATATGTAAAGTAAATTATTTATTAATTGCTTCTTGAGATGGTCAATATGACTTGCTTGCTTTATCGGAAACATGGTTTGGCTCAGATATCTCAAGTAGTGATTTATTTGACAGGTCTTTGGTCCTTGTATTTTGTACACAAGAAAGATATGGATGTTCAAATTCCAGGTTGGATAGATACGTGATGGGGAAGTTTTGATTGCAAATAAATCGTTCCTCCAGAAAAAATAACGTTGCCCCAGGCTTTTCAGAAACTCAGATTTCTTAAATGTTGATATTATTGTTGTAAAAATTAACTTGTGGGAGGTTTAAAATTTTACAGCTTATAACCAATAAACTAGTTACTTTTAACAATAAAAATGGTGCATGTAAGTAAGATTACATTTTTCTAGACTCTAAATTACTTAACAGACTAATGTTTGTAGAATTTTTCCGCTTTTGCCTAAGAAGTGTCTTAACAGTAGTAGTATCAGCTAGATTTACATTTCAAATAATAATCCTAAGTATCGTTTTTTGCACAGTGACGTCATCAACGATTTTTTTAAATATGAACCCAAACTTTTTCGTTTGAATTTTGATACATCTTTTTATTAGTTAAATGGACGAATAAAATAATATTTTTTGGTAAAACTGCTATTACAGTTGAAAAAAAATCGATTTTCATAGGAAATTGATGAAGGTTTCCAAACTATTAAAGCATGCTGTCCAAAATATTGTTTTTATTTAACAACAAAAAGAATATCTACATTGCAACAATATGAAAAGAAGTTTCATGGAATCCCAAAACCTGCAAATTGTTATTAAACGTGCTGAATTTCACAAAAGATGGCACGTGATCACTTGATCAGGAATGCTAGACAGCTGTTTGATATGACCGTCTTTTTTTTTAAAGAAACGTTAACAGCTCTGCGCTATTTATTTTTTTGCGTTTTGATTACACAGGTTTTGTTTCCAAACCACGAAAATGGAGATATGCCCAATCAACGAATTTGGTTCCAACAAGATGGGGCACTATGCATTTTGGTAGGGAAGTGAGAGAGTTTTTTGACATCATTTTCTTGGGAAGATGGATATGGCCACTTGGACCGTTTGAATAGCCGGGTCGTTCGGCAGATTTAACGCACCTTGATTTCTTGTGGCGTTATTTAAAATCTAAGGTCTACTTTAACAGACCAAACACTTATTTGGACGATGTCAAGAACCGAATCGAATAGAAATGGGCAACATCATCTCAGATACCACTGAAGCGGCAGTACAAAGTGTTTAACACGTGCTGGTATGTGCCAAATGATTGCTGGATGGCAGTTTGTACATTTATTTTTCTTTTGTTGTTTTACTGCAGAGTTTCCGTTCAAACTGTATTAATAAATCGAATTTTTGTTTTTCAACTTTAATCAAAATTTTCCCCCAAAAAATATTTATGAGATAGCAACTGTTTCCTACTACTACTTAACTAATACAAAGATCTATCAGAATCCGAAAGAAAAAATCAGGATACCATTTAAAAAAATCGTTGATGGCGTCACTATGCAAAAACGTCTGGTTGCATTGTGACGGATTCATAAAAAAAACACAATAGACTTCTTTTTAAAGTCTGTCTTACAATATTTTGTGGAAATAAACAAAGACACGGGCTGTCTTTTGCTATCAACTAAATCAGATTTTAATATACAAAAAAATCCAAAATTATACAATTTTCAAATATCGATATTTCAGTTTTTTCAAATGGAACACCCTCTATTTTATTGTTGTATGTAACTCTATTTCTTGTCCTCATTCTTCTAATATGGCGATGTGTCCCTTAAAAAAGTAAAAACTCGTAGGAACTTTAAATATAAAAAAATACTTAGCAAAAAGAAATAAAATAAAAAATAAAATAAGATGCAATAATAAAACATCGGATTTAAAAAAATTGTAAAAACTGATATTTGAAAATTGTATAAAATAAAATAGATGATTTCACGCTTAGTGTGCACAGTGCAGATTTAACCAGTATTCATAAATACATGAAATTTTTAAAAGCAATTTTACATGAAAATCTGAACTGGAAAAAATCACGGCATGTAGGTGATAAAAAGTTGAGCTCGTTAATCTTCTTTTTATTAAATAATTTGCGCCTAGCTTTGTAGTTCGGAGTATCGTATTTTAATATTTGTTGACTTATACAGTCTAGGGATGCCTGTATAAGTTTTTGTAAAACAGGACAAATTTATTTTAAATATTCCATATAAGTGCAAATTTTCAACAAATTACCAATGCTAACAATGTTTTTAATAGAATAATGTTTCGATACGTTTAAAATTTTTCTTTTTAACGTAGTGTCTTAAGGATTTACTGGTTCTAAAATTTTTGTTATCCATTATAAATAATGTCTCTTATTGTTATTGTTTTACTCATTTTTTTTGTCTTTATGTTTTTTGTTATCTTAAGAAAATACATTTATTATTTAATAATAATAATATTAAATTACATTAAAATAAAATTAAAACAGATGGTACAATACTACCAAAAATTTGTTGATGTCTTTTAATGCAAAGTAAATTCTACCTGAAATTTATACAGCAAAAAATTAAATCGTGGCACAAAATGTTATAATTTATTTTTTATTTTTGTCCATCGTGTGTCGTAAAATTCGTTACGATACACATATTGTAAATAACTACGACTGTAGTACCGTACCATTTATAATGAACAATTTCATGTTACCTATTTTAAAAACTATCAACATTTAAACAAAACGTAATAGGGTTGAATGCCGATGAAATAATTTTGCGGCAACAAAAAATAATCGAAATCAAATCTGTGTGTAAGAATACCTATTATTACGTTGATCGGTGAATAAAATCGGTTAAACTCAACAATGTATTTCTCAGTAACTCAAATTTACACGACTAACTATTACAACGATTATGTACAGAATAACTTCGTGGTGCAACTTGAATGAATTCGCTCATTCGATGAACTCGACTTGTTGACTGAATAATGCTCGTTCCTGAAGGTAGCCTCTATTTAGCGCTCGCCGACCGACGTCATCGATGATGAGTCATCATTGCCGTAGATTACGAGAAAGCTCTCGACGAGCCATAGGCGTCGTACCGGGCGGCGTATGGGTTTATTTCGTAACAGTATTTACATTGTGGGATTTTTCTTAGGAAATTTCTTAAACAAATTCCTTATGACTTCCTTGTGATTATTTAGGAATGAACAGGATGGTCAATATTCGAGTTTTGGGGTTTACATTATTGTGAAATTACTTGTGATTTTGTTACTATTAGTTTTGACATTTAACATTAAATTTAAAAGTTTCTGACCTACAAAGAGGTGACATTAAGAGCACATAAAGTATGTATATCTTGATTATAACAACAAAATCATTACTTTTATTCGATATTATAATATTATAATATAAGTGCTAGAATGAAGACAAGTCGATCATTCTTAAAGTTCGTTTTATTTTTTTATTAAACAATTACTGGAAATAAATTGACAGTGCTCGACAGTATTGAAACAACATGAACCAAAAGACATATTATTAAATTTCTTGAATTTTAACCTCACGAAATAACAGCCGCTGTGCAGAAACGGCGCTAAATTGAAAATCTAGTATAGGAACGATGTGAATTTTCACAAGAAATAGCTACCGTCGTATTTCGTGGGATCCCTTATGAGAATATCCTTATGATTTTGCTTAGGAGTGTTTTCTTGGGACTAATCACATAAACACGTTTCATAGAAATTTCTTGAGTTACTCCTAAGGAAAATCCCATAATGGAAACGACCTTTACTCCTGAGCATAAGGTACGGCTACTTTTATATTTTCTCGACGTTTCATGACTCCTGGAGTATGAAAAAATGAGTCCCCATTTCCGTCTGCCCGTCGTCTGTCGTCTGTCTGTCATCTATGTCGATTTTTATTTTATTATAAAATCGATGTATCCTAACAATTTTCTCTATTCAATTTTAATAATATTATTCCAGATTACTTGCGCGAACAATGCATAAAACACCACACATTTTAGCAGGAATATAAATAGGTATATGTACTTCCTGTCGATGTCTAAAACGTCAATTTCTTGAGGTGCGACCCTTCACACTATATTTTGTTGCTGGTTTTCCCACATGAACAAGAAATTACCATATCGCTCTACCTTTTCATTCCGATAATGTTAACTTTAAAACCATTTTGAACAAAAATTGTGACGTTAGTCACATTAGTGCGAAATTTAGTGATCTGCTGTGCTACTTTGCGTAAAAATTATTTGAATAATTATAATTGCGAGAATATTCTATAAAATGTTTACGGAGTAGAACTTATTCGGATTCATCGGAGGGCACAATATATCGAATTAAATCTTTGTATCGTAAATATACTCGTAAAGAGTGTTTGTTTCTTTATTAGCGATGTAAGTGGAAGCGAACTTCAGCGAATTTGATATGAAGCTCCTGTTTGCCAAGCGTTTTTGCGGTTTTTCGTTTTTCTTGTTGTACGGTGGCACACTACACGTGAAAACAAGCGTTAATTTATTTTCTATGTTAGCTCAAATTTAAGCTCAAATACTATTGTAAAATACTGCACCAATATTTTTTTTTTTAATGTTGAGGTTCCTTACTCGAAAATTTTACATTGTCGTTAAGATTTGGGCGCGTAACATCAGAAACAACGGCTCACTATCTACGAATCTTAACATTAATTCAAGTACACATTTAGATCTTTATGCATACATTATTAACATGTGGAAATCCAAAACATTTTCCCATTCTTTTTTTACTTTATTTTAACCTACTTTCTCTTATCTTTGATTATAAAATAGTCGAAAATCAACAATTTGAAGCAGTAGAGATATAAGTTCACTAAAACAGGATTCAATCATTTGGTTCTTTGTGTGAAAATATGTCCACGTGAAAATTATTTACTTCAGTTGAAATCAGAACAATTTCAAACCTTTTGTACTTCTTTCAGACTGCACAATTCAGCCTACTATGGATTCTTTTTATTATAATCGTGGCCGGAAACGTAGGTGTTTTATATACATTGATTTTCGGCAGATCTAGAAAGAGCCGAATGAATTATTTTATAACCCATTTGGCTCTCGCAGGTACAAAAATAATACCACAAATAAACACTAAAATTTTAATGTATACTTTTATCTTTTCAGATCTAAGCGTTGGTTTAATTAGTGTTTTAACGGATATAATATGGAAAATAACAATTGCGTGGCATGCAGGCAATATTGCATGCAAATTGATCAGATTTTTGCAGGTATGCGAAAAACCATAACTCTAAATCTATGACCGATATTTATTTTCATTAGGTGGTCGTAACATATGCATCAACCTATGTTTTGGTAGCTTTAAGTATAGATCGTTACGACGCAATTCGTCACCCTATGAGATTTTCAGGGAGTTGTAAGTATAAATATTTTTTATGTTTTACTTTATATTCGTTGTTTATTTTTAGGGCAACCGTAAAATTCAAGTGTAATATTAACTGTTTTTACAGGGAAACGTGCTAAAGGTCTAATATTAGCTGCATGGTTCTTCAGTGTACTATTCTCAATACCCATTTTGATTTTCTACAAAGAAGAATTTCGTTTTAACGTATGGCAATGTTGGATCGATCTTGGCGAGAACTGGAAGTGGCAACTCTACATGACACTGGTCTCCGTGTCAATTTTTATCATTCCTGCGGCAATTATAGCTACCTGCTATGCAGTTATTATTGTTACTATTTGGTCCAAAAACGCCAAAGGATTCGTAAAAACTACTAAAATAACCAATGGGTCTGACAATTCCAGGAGAGCTAGTTCCAGAGGATTGATACCAAGAGCCAAAGTCAAAACTATCAAAATGACATTTGTTATCGTCAGCGGTCAGTAAAAGCATATGCTAGTTACCCAAATTAACAAAAATATTCCTCGAACTCAGAATTTAGTGTTATATCTAACAAATATTTCCTTCTGAGTATAATGTGTACGGAATGATTGAATGTGCCACATAAATTTTGCCAAGTTCTTACTGTAGGCGCACATATTTTGCCGCATCTTGACTTTAACGATTTTAACTAACCTGTCACGCTATCAACATATACACACTAAGCAAATTTCCGTGAATGCGAAGATGAAAATTAAGCATGAGCATGTATGCAGCCTTTTAAAAAGTTGGCACTTTCAATCCATTTCAGTAAATTTAACATGTTAGCAGTCTTATATTCATTCTTTTTTACAGTTTTTATAATTTGTTGGAGTCCGTATATAATTTTTGATTTGCTGCAAGTTTTCGGGCAGATACCACGCTCTCAAACTAACACAGCCATAGCCACACTGATCCAGAGTTTGGCACCTCTAAATTCAGCAGCCAATCCTATTATTTACTGCCTATTTTCTACACACTTTTGTCGCACTTTATGGTTAGTATATATATGTATATATTTTTACTTTCTGTTTGAACGCATACTGCAAAGACGACACAGTCATGGTGGTTCTATTAAAATTTAAACATACTGTATTTTGCAGTATGCGTGTTACTGTACTTGTGTTATTTAAAGCTTCCTTTATATTTTATTACTTTTCTTTTCAAGTTTAGTAGATGTTTTTCAGTGTATTACGAGATTTCGATTATTTTATGCAAGAAATCAAAACAAAAACATTTTTACTACTCGTATAAATTGAGCACGAAAGAATGTAGGACGAAGGCACAGTCAGTTTATAATACATTGTTCTTATTTACTTGGGAATGTGATAAATATTTTTATAGAGAATGTTCTATTATGAAAGTAAAGGTAACTTTAATAATTATCTTAACTGTTTTTTCAAACTCACGTCCATTAAGTGTGTTTGTTTGGAATTTATTTATTATTTAAGCTATTAGAACACGCACGATTTTTCAGTGTCAGTGTCAGACGCACCCATACGCTACATTAAATAAGAATATCAAGGTAAAACAAAATCAAAACTAATTTATAACTTGAATTACATAGGGTGCTTCGCTTTTGTTTTCAGCAGGCAGTCTGTCTAAAAGAATAAAAGTTGTGCGAATTGATTAATTAACAGATTTTATTTATTTATTGAAACTATTTTTAATTAAAATACATAGTAAATAAATATAATTTTAATTACATAAATGTATCTTCTTTCTTTCAATTCACTAGCCTTAAATTTTGTTTTCCTAAAACTATATAATATACAAAAATATAAGAAAATTACCACCATCTTTAATCGTATGTACTAAGTAGTTACATACAGTATTACAGTGTCTAAAGCGAACAAAAAACTTCCGATTTGTCACTGGAGTTTCCAGTTTTAGGAAACTTGGTTTTTCCTTAACCATAGAAAGCATATGTACAGTAATAATTTTCACGAAATGAAATTTGATGTTTTGCTAGCATTCTATGGTACAGACTATGAAGGTGTAAACTACTCACTTTCGTTTGTCAGTCGTATGTTGGATTAACCAGATAATTCAATAAATACTAATAAGCCAATTAATTGTTTTGAAATTTAGTACGATAAAATACCAAATGAAATTTATTTATATGTTACATTTAAAAACTAAGTGAAATTTAAAAATTTTATTAAGTAAAGCCGTTTAATTTATAACATGTAAATATCATATCATGTTTTTCATTGTATAATATGTAAACGTACAAAGTGGACTCTTCTGAAAACATTACCTAAATTTTACTTAAGCACTCATCGGGAAGGTCATCTTAATACATTATTGAATAAATATTCGTTAAAAAATATATTTTTCAACGTAATTTTATTTGTATTTTAATTCAACGTAGTTTTATTTGTATTTTAATGATGTGCTTTTTTATAACGTTCTCAACAAAATCATGTATAAAATTTAACCCTGCGATTTTTGTTTTGTGATAACTTCTATAAAGTAAAAACCAGTGGCGTAAATAACACCCCCGACGCATATTCCAAGGGGGCGCGATCCGCACTAGTGAGGACAATGTGAAATATATTTATCTAGCGCACATACAGTTTTTCGAGTATATGCTTAACTTCGACTACTTATTTGACTATTTATGTTTATACTTCGAAAGAATTCGGCTATTAACACGTTAAGATCGGTGGCTATTTGTGTTCAAAGAAAATAAAATTTGATGGATTTTGTCTCTTCAACGCAGATGAGAGGATTAATTGTTTTCCCCCAAAAAATTAAAATCTACCGCAAACATTCCTAAATTTGAAGAACATTTAATCGACAAAATTGTAAGATGACAAAATCAGGGAGGGAGGGGCATAAACAAACACATTTATCATGCTTGCAATAACCTCAAAATGTTTTCTTACAATTTCAAAGTTCAGTTGTAAAATGTTAGGAGTATGAAATTTTAAAATTTTAATTTTTTTCCCAAAAAATCTAGATGCGTAGACTAAAAACTCAACACGGACTCATAAATTACACATGCAGGAGTATGTTATTTTATACAACTTAAAGAGCATTTTTTATTCGGCAAAATTCTAGGATGAAGTCATGGTCTTTTGAGAAAGCCATAAACTAATAAAGTTTGATTAACGATTTATTATGCTTCAAAATTAAATTGTAAAATGTGTTAAAAAAACATATTTTTTTCTCAAAAGTTTGGATGTCTAGAGTAAAAACTCAACCAATAGACATAAATCACACATTCAGAGGTACGTTATTCTATAAATTTTAAAGAACTTTAATTCGACAAAAATGTAAAATGACGTAATCATTGGGAGGAAGGGGGGGAGGGGGGGGGTTACGCGAAAATTGTTATACACTTTAATTTTTGTTATGATAACACCTATAAATATAAAATAAAGATTTGTGTGCGCAGTTAAAGTACAGATAAAGAAGCATGATATGGGTATATTTCAAGTTTTTCCATAACAAAATTTTGTATTGACGTCATAAACGCTTTATCAAGGACACATGTATCAATGTAAACAAGTGGCGTGTAATAGCAATAATAATATTAGTACTGTATACTTAAATTTTCGAGAAAAGGTGATGAGCCTTTCTTGATTTGATCAACAAAATAGATTGTCTCATTTTTTTTAGTCACCCTGTATAAGTAATGCATACAAAAACACAAGTATAGATTCATAATATTTTAAATAAGATTTTACATATTTAAACATTATTTATTTGGCAAAATTTTGAGATGACGTCATCAAATTTTTGCAACTGATAAATTTTGATTAACGATTTACAATGTTTACGTGACCTTACAACGCTTGCAATATTTCAGAATTAATTATTATTAAGTGTTAAAACAATCAAATTAAAATCTTACTTTAAAAATACGATAGGCGAGGCCTGTAAATAACGAGTATTCGCAAAAGAGTATTCTAAACAAGTGTTATAGTTATTGTTTTTGAAAGTATATGATTATGGAAATGAATATACGAGTACATGTATGCATAGCCCTTCACAATCGAAAAATATTATAGGACCCGCTCGATAACCGAGAATCACGAGTTCTAATTGCACTTGGTGCTGAATTTTTTTTTTTTTTTTCGTCTTTAGAGGATTTTTGTAAACTCCACACATTATTTACTTTATTTATTACTAAAATAAGGTGTTACGTACTTTAACAATTAGATATTTTTAATTACCTAAAATGTGGTATTTTACTCAAAATTTAGAAAAATTTTGAATGCACCCATAACCTACTTGTGTGTGACAGAATGACAAGCGATACTACCAACCGATATCGATAATCATAAAAAAATTCCGTGAGAGAGATACCGAAAACCAGCAATTGACAGATTAATTAATTTAGCAACAAGTCAAATCAATAAATTAATCTCATAGCCCACTAGACGTAAATCATTTATTAACACCCTGTACAAGATCATTATCGTTGTTCCCTTTTTCCTGGTTTATTTATATTTGTGTTAACACGTGCTTGTTTGCAAGCATGTAAAAATAAGACAACCATTCTCTCGTGCGATTTTTTTTAAATAATTGACATGGATACAAGAAGCATAACAAAAGGCCGCCTTATTTTTATCTTTTTTTTTTCTAAGGACTCGTACGCGCAAACAAACAGTGTTTCCAGTTCTCTAGTTGAATCACTGGTGCATAAAAATACCATTAACAACATGGTTTTCAAATATTTTCTTAGGAAAAACAAGTCTTTATAAACAACTTTTGTCGTGTTTCATTTTTACCGCTTGAAGTTTCCATCTGAAAGCAATCATGAAAATAATAATTTCGACAAGTTTTTTCTCGAATATAAGAAATTTCGCTATTAAGAAGATTGCCCTAATACAGTGAGAGAGAGAGAACTCCTCAACAGTAAACACAAATGACAAGTGTCACCTTTTTGTTAAGATATTGTAGGATAGCTAGTTTTTATTGAAACGAGTTGTCAGCTACTATTGTGTGTGAGCTTTCTTATCACTTTCGCTATATATCATCGTAAATAATCCGAATACACGGCAATACAATTTTTAAACGTCTAAAGTTACGTTTGATATATTACACTTACTTCTGATAAATAACAATGTGAGGCTCAAAGCGAGTTTAGATTTGGTAATGAAATTACAGGAAAAAGCAGAGAAAAGTTTAAGATAAAGTGACTTTGATTCAAATTAACAGTGACGAATGCGACAGGACTGCTCGTGGCATTACTAACTAGAATACAAATTAGAGATCAAGAACAAAGCTAGAAAAAGAATTAATGTCTTCTATTCTCAATACATTCTCTTGATTTAATTGAAAGTAAAAGTCCGCAATTATCTAAACACTAAACCGAGTTCCTGCTATATATTTGCTTAAATAAGAAAAATGTAAATCGGAAATTACAAAATTGAAACGAATTTGTTTGTGAATGTCAGACTGCTTAACTCAAGCAAACATATTCCATCCAAACTTTAGCAGTTCAAGTAAATTAAAATAATATTGATCACCGAACTGAGTTAAGTACTAAAATTTTCGTTTTAAATGAAATTAAATCTAGGTTGATTTATTTTAAGAAACGACACAAGCTGATAAAACTACGGACCGGCAAATACCGTTCTTATAACTTCGGTAAATGAATGAAAATTTTCATAGGCACATCTGAAAATTTTTAAAACATTTGGTCTAGGGAATCTGCGCAATCGGAACTGTAATTGATTTTGTACATAAAAATGTACTTACTTACAAGTAAGTACACAACAAAAGTGAAGTATTTGTTAACTGCATATATTTCGCAGTTCAAGTTTCAACATTTTATAATATTATTAACTAACTGTGCGTCAGTAGTTTTCAATTCAACAGCGTAGAATTTCAATTTTCTCTTGAAGTATACTTAGGTGAAATTCCAACCCTTCTCGCAGCACCAAAACAAGGAAACACCCTTGAGAATCAATATATCGAACGAAACTAGTTGTTAAATGGAAACTTTCAAGAAGTTTCAATTAATTCACGCTGCTGATTTTCTCGGAAATTTTTGTATTTGCTGTTAAACAGAGTGTTATGAAGATGTTTGATTGCCGCCGCCGGAAAGTAATCCACACCAGGCTGCTGAAATTGAGTACTCAGTGAACAACTGCAAAAAAAGAGAAATAAGATTATTTCTGTTTATCTAATTGTACTACAATCGTGAAACAAAATTGAGAAAGTTTGAAGAGTTGCTTTGTGTGTGTATGATCTTTTCATTTCAGAATTTTTCTTATCGTGAGTTTGATAAATAAAAAAATATGACGTTCTTATTGTCATCTGTCTCACACATATTGCCAACTTATTGTTTTATAGTTTTGTGTTAGTGTGACAACTATAGTGTTTTTTAAGTTGTCTTAATTAAAATTAAGTTAATCGTGTGTGACGAGGTTTACCATTACCATGTCATTTCAACTTCATAATGACGCTTTTACTGTACATTTGTATCGCAGATATTTTTATTCGATTTTAATGTTTTCTTAAACTAATTTTACTCGCATAACAAACGTTGCGTGCAACATGTATGTAAACGAGACTGTTATTATCATGGTAGGTTAAACATTTCAAACATTGTTTACGCAATCTTTGCATTTGACACAAACTTTGACGAATTAGCTATCTATTTTATAGTCTGTAATTCACATAAAACAAAGCACATATGCAACAAACGTATTAAATACGGTCAAAAAATGTAATAATTCGGGAATAAATGTTCAAATTCAAGCTGTGAGAAAAAAATCCTGATGAAAGAAAGTAAAACATTCACAGTGCTGTTAATTTAACTGTTGATAATTTTTAAGATCCTTTCTTTCAAAATGGTTTAAAGTTTAAAATTAGTTTATATACAATATTCATTCTCGCTTGAGAAACTATGAAGTGTCGATAACGCAATAACTTAAAAAAACATCAAGAACCTTAAAAATATCGTGATAAACAGTTCAGTGAAACCTAAATAAATTAATTTATTGCCACGTGTTTTATATAGATTTATACATTATTGAAGTTTAATTGTACTACAACATGAATGGTGAATTTACAAATAATAATACAAAGATAGCAGCTATTGACTAATAGTCAAATTTTTACATGTTTCAGATTGTACTAATTGCACTCGTTGATGACTGTGGGGTCGAATGCGATTTATTTTTGTTTAAATAATTGCCCTTTTTCGAAATTACAAACAATATTCTACACACTAAAATTTAGTACACGTTTCAGCTAACACTGCTTTAGTGAAGTGGGCCAAAAATATTCTCTCCTCGAATCACCAAACCGAGGCTTTAAATTCTGCTACAAATGCATGGTTGCCTACATTGTGACTGATTTTCTTATTTCTTAATTTTTCAAATGCGATTTCGCAGCTTTGTTTTTTAGTGTCTCTCAATGCAAATTACATTGCTAATTAATAAATTCGATGTTTTTTACCATTTTTCGCCAACTGGAATTCTTACACAACTTGTTACGACAAAACAGCAAAAGTTGAGAATGCCTGACTGATCTCTAACGTTTCCTTAGGTCATAGAGTAATAAAAATGCAATTTGTTTTCTATTTTCGTTTTTTTTTGTCGTCTTGACTGTTCATCTCCTTTAAAAAAACCGATTACGTCATCTTAAAATGTCGCTTGAATTATGCATTGTAACGTTCTTTATTTTCTGTAGCATTATATTTCACAATGTTTATTTCTTTATTATGATCTAAGAATTGTATTAAAGAAATTTGAACCATTAGATTAAAATTTAAATTACATTGCGGTTTTAAAAAATTGTAGTATTTTGGATTATTTTAGTATTAAATAAATTTTATGAGATCGCCAATTCGCCACCAGATCTGAAAAAAAACATGAATCTTTATTGAAAAATGAGTTCTGAAATGCATTTTTGCGTGTGTATTAGTAGCATATTTTTACGTTTGTAAACTTACTTAAGCAAGATCAACCAAAAATGGTTTGAATCGCTTATTTTATTTGTTTAATCAGAAACAGTTTAAGTAATTTCTCAGAAGTTTTGGTAATAAATTATGTTTAATATTATGATGAACAAATACAATTAAATATATTTTTCACCACCACAAATCTCGATAGCTGGAAATACTTATTTTTGTGTACAAAATGCAGTAATTACATTATAACAGACAGGGTATACTTAAATCTATAGTAGATATATCATTATTGTTTTGTTTGATATAGTAAATATGCTCGTATTTTTATAACAATGTCACAAATTACTTTAATGTTTTCACTCGTGATTTTTAGGTCACTACCTCCATTTAAATGGCTGTTTAAAAAGAAGAAGAAAAGGAATGGGGAGTCCACAACAAATACACAAAGCAGTTCTTTATCCGAATTCTCCACCAGCACCAACAGGAGAAAAATTCAAAATCTGTCTTCATTCATCAACGCCCATTCAGTATTAGTTCATTAGAAACCAAATGGTGTATAATATTTATAACTGTTATTGAATAAATGTATTTATTTTCTATTTCAATGTATAATAATAATTATTTGTATTGTATTTAATTGTGATCATATTAAAACAATGACACAATATATTAGTGTATCTATACCGTTGTACTAAACTGGGTGAGAATCACAATCAGAGTCACCAAAGAACCAAGCATCTGTAAAAAAAATCCGAATTGAAAAAATATATTATTTTGTACAGTGTCTCACTTTGGACTAATCTAGTCGAAAAATAAAAATTTTTACAACTTCCATTTTAGATTTCAAAAGTAGAAAATGATGCATTTTCATGAAAAGTGAAACACCCTGTACATATGTATACTTACCGCAAAAAATTGCTGCATATCCAGAACATAAAGACCCATTGCAGTAAAAAGAACATTATGATTTAACAGCTTCAAAGAATATTTTTCAATTGTTTTTTGGTTAAAAATATCGACTTTTTTGGATAACTTGGAATACCAGATTTCCTTAAAACGATTCGATTCCTTTCGAGTGTTTTGGCAAGTCCATAGAATAGTGAAAAGTATAGATTCTTGAATTATCGTGTAACTTGAGGCTAACATTATTAAAAAACGTGGACAGTCTTTACAAGACCAAAGGATTGCCAGATGGTACATTTCATAAATTGTCCAAATTAAGTAAGTTAATATACTTAACAATAACTGTCGACCAAATAACTTGTTGACTTTTTTGCACAGAAACACTAGTTCTAAATAAGTACGAAACACAAAAATAAAATCATCTGATGACGTTAAAATGTTATTTAATTTGCGAAAATCTCCTTTTATTAATCTTAAGAAATTAACGATTACGCAAGAGTTTGTAAAGATCATAAATTTTGATAGAGTAAACCCGAAATTGATAATAAAAGCTTCCGCAATACTATAGTATACGAAATAAAGAGTAAATAGATAAAGGAAACAACAGAAAATAAAAAGTGGGTGTAATAAGTATAAATAATCCGTTTGTTCTTTGTTACCGTTCGATTTACTTAAAATGCTAGTATGAAGAGAATGGAATTTCACTAATACCTTATGGTATTTTTCTTGATTCAAGAGGCCAATTATCTGAATTTCGAGAATTACGAGAATAATTGGAAAACTGCAGAAAATAAAAACAATATTTTTTAGACTAATGTGCTCATCTAAAATATTATAACAATTGACAACAATGCAAATCACGATAATCGTATTGAAAAAAAAAATTCTTACACAATAAAATGTCTTATTTAACGTGAAGATTAATTTGTTTTTGTTAAATGATAGCCGTAAAGGAAACAGACATATGAAGTAACTAATTCCAAGTAGAACTGTTATATTATAAAAGTCGTTCATGTTGCTGTTAACTACGGTTGAATATTTATCACCGATTTAACTTGGAATATAAGCTATGATTTACGTGTGAACACAAATTCACTGATTGCTATTAAATTACTTGTTTATATTATGATTATGCCATGATAAATGTAGTAAACATTATGTTTTCATAACGAAATTGTTTCGTGAAAACTTCACCATTCAGGAAAAGTAAGCCAAATGAAGGAAAAACACTTTTTATTATTTAGTAGTTTCTTTATTATGATTATTACTGATTATACTTTTATCGAAAGACATACATATTTTATAATTTACCCATTTTATCAATTGTGATTAAAAAGGGTATCGATGAAAAAGAGATACATTTGTGTTTCCCAAACAACAAAGAAATATATATTAAAATCGTGTCATTTTGAGTCTAATTTTATGTTTTCTTAGCTTTTATATACTGTAAAATATGAACCTTCTTCATTGTTGTTTGTATGTTAGAAATGATTTATTAAGCAGATAATCTCAGAAACTGTTGAAAAAATTGGAGAGAATTAAAAAACTATTCTTAACATTCCTTCATTTTCACTTAGCTCCTAAATAATGCAAGAACAAAATTCGGAAAATTCACTAATAGCTTACAGTATTGATTACTGTATCAAAGAAGAAAAAACTATCCTGGTAAAATTGTACTAGGAGGCGAATTTTTTAAGACACCTCAATATTTTGTTGTTTTTTTACATTAATTCGTTCGTGTGTTTTCTGCATATGAGTGCGCATACTCGGTAGAACTGAATTGAAACAAATGCAAATCGGTTAACGGTTAACATTAAATAATTAGATAATAAATAATACGATATCACACGCATTATTTTTGTTAAATATCGTTAACACATGAAGGGTAACAGCTATTTAATAAAAATGGATACAGATGACAGACAGACGGAAATCCAGACCTACTGTTTCGTACTCTAGGAGTCACGAAATGTCGAGAAAACACGAAAGCAGCTGTTCGTCAGATGGACCTTATTACAATAGCTACCTACTCTCTTAGCTTACGCTGGAAATGTAAGAAGCACAATCATATTCATTTATGTATTTGAGAGTTATAATTATTCTTTTCACCAAAGTAAGCTTAGTATTTCGATGACAGCAACAATAACAGTGATTTGTAAATTACATAACATTAACTATATAACGGGTGATCAAAACGTTTCCAGAGTATTCAGACTTTATAACATCTGCAATTTAATCTTGACAAATATTTCTAATGCCAACGCTAATCTGGAAATATTTTGATCACTGTTTACATATTAAATACCTACATATAGAATATTAATATTTGTGTTTTTTTATCCGGTTGGCAACATATTCAAAATTTTATGATGGCATATCTGATTTTCAAAGTAACATTTATGACAGTTGCCATCGTCTTAACCAATCAACACGCTCCTTAGGTGTGCTCATGTCAAAACTGACAATTCTGAAATGATGTTAATAATTCAGAATTGCCAACACAAAAATTTGCTTCAGTCATTAGTGGTAACTTGGTATATGCTAATTTATTCAGTTTCTCAGGAAAGCTGAAGTTGCCTAAAAAATTCGATAAATAAATAGTATAATTTGTGTCTGACCCGTGAACAGAAGTATTACATTTTTAAAGTTTAATTTTGGTTGAGTTGTGACAATATTCTAAATAATACCTAGTATCGTGGGTAGTAGAATAAAGAACTTCTTTCTCCGTCTGTTAGGATAATTAAACTTATAAAAAAATGGGCTTTGCCTTTTTTCTACAAAAAAAAAAATACATGACAAGGATATGTAATAAAGCTTACTTTTTACGCTTTCCATTCCCAGACTGTAACCTAGTTTAAAAATAACACCGTTTTCCCCCAACCGACGCTATTCTGTAGAACGATGTTAGCAGACCAGCGTCACCTCATCCGTTGATCGTTCGTGTTCATTTGATTTCTTTTAGAAAAACGATAGAATTATCTCAAAAAACAAACAAATATTGAAATATATTTTGCTCCCCTTCAATTCATGTACTTTCGCAATGTAAAATATTAATAACAGTATATTGTGTCGAAACTTGTATTTTACTTGCAACTGTTGAAGTTGTTGGCACGAGACGAAGTCGAGTGCCATATCAACACGAGCGTGTAGCAGCACCTTCGCACGTGTTTTACACATACTTTTTCTGGGCCTATATTCTTTGAGTTAAACAAATAAAACTTAAAAAATATTTAGTACCGTTTTTATTGTTGAATTACATGCACTTTATTTATTATTTGTATAATAGTTTTAAAGTTTACCACGCCCTTTCGTGCGCTGTCCACCGAGGATGTATGTAAAGTGCACGAAAGTCCACCATGGCAACTTGACACATGTACCTTTATGTACTTTTCATGCATGCTCTGAAACGTCATTTGTAATTTGAAATTTTCGAATAAGGCAATCTATGGCGAAAATACTAGTCTCGGTAATAGGCGTAGAAAATAGTATATTATATACCGAGGCGGAACGTAATTCATTCCTGTCATGAGAACTAGTTCTCGAGACATGAATGGTACTTTTGCCGAAGTTTTGTATACTTTTTATTCACAATCATTTAATAATACAAGCAACAATAGAATAATAAAAACCCTACCTCCATAATAATAAGACATGTGGTTTATGTCGGTAAAATATTAACACTTAGTAGGCGCTGCATAATTGACATTTTGTTAAATCTATCTATATTAATAAAAATGAATCGCCGAAATGTATGTACGCTCATAACTTCAGAACGACTGCACCGAATTGGACGATTCTTTTTTTACGTGTACCTTATTGTCAGGACAAGGTTTATATGTAAGAAAATTTATAAAAAATAAGACGGCTAAAAGATAAAAAAATTTTAAAAATTTTGCATGGGAATCGCCACTTCAAATGAATTTGAATAGTTGGCGTTCCTGACGGACCTGTCGCCTAACTGACGTGTCATACAAAACTATTTCTTCCGTGCGATTGTGAAAAAAGTATTATTGCAATTCAAATCGTTCTTTGTTTTTTCGTAAAAAAAACGTCGTTTATTTTAAGAAAAGTCTTAGTTAAAATGAATTTAGTTACACATTGCGAAAGTGTCTTATTAATTTTGATCTGCCATTCTATTTACCTATGTTCACTTTGTTGGTTTCGACAAAACTTCAAACTTTACCGTTATTCGAGGATTTAATTTGAAGTTTTCAATATTTTAAAATTCTCAAGACAAAATTTACAGATTTGATTGAATGTGAAAATAATTCTGTGTCGTTTTATGAAGTTCATTACAATGCCGAGAAGACGACAAGCTGACATAAGTCCACGAAGTCAATCAAATGTGCGACGAATTACCTAAGGTGCAAATCGCGATGATTTATTTCAAGGGTAATTCGGATACGGAAGTTGATCAGCGTTCTGCTCATAATCAACATCATAATCAAACATTGAAGCGAGACATTGGACGGTATGAATAAAACTGAGTAGATACTCATATTCGAAGTACAAAGTACCTACTTCATTATTACTCTGATATACCTGAGCATCTACCCGATGTACTGTGTATCTACATGCAAACATTGTATCTCCCCGGACACAAATTGAACATTTACGAGTTTTGTGAGCATTTAATCTAAAAATGAGCATCGGCATGGCAAATGACTATTTGTCCTTATAAATGATAAATTAAATGTAATATTTTTTTTTTTTCTTAAGAATATAGAATTAACAAAGTTAGTTGAGTTACAAAAGTCTCTTTTGCTCCACGTTGGCCACCAACGAGCGATGTTCATGATTTTTGTGAAACTTTGCTGGTTTTGAATTTGAATTTTCTGTCCTCGATAGTTGATGCTCAGCAAGAACCACGGGAAGGTCTGGAGCAGATCTCGCTAGGAAAGGAGAGGGCTAGGAATTGTTAATGAGGGATAGAACGTTATACAGTACAATACAACGGAAATACAATACAGGTACCTACAAACTAGCTACAATACAGAATACACTACAGATACAGATACAATTCAGATACAATACAAATGCAAAGTTAGTACCCAATACACCACCGGAAGAAATTGCACCAAAAATTGAGAATGTTGCAAAATGAAAACCCAAGCAAGCACACCGATGGAACTCGGGACGAAATCTATTGGTCGCAGCGCTCACGCGCCCAAGGGAGAACGCAGCCGCATAAATCCAAGGTCGTCTTACCTCATTCTCAAAGAACGATGCAACCCAGCGTCTAAGGGCCAAAAGAACCCCCCCAAGCCAAAGCGTCTGACGACATGGAGAATTCAGTCTCGGAACCAAAGAATGCACTGTTGCAAAATTAAAACCCAAGCAAATGCACCGTGAACACAAAGCATTTGCACCACTGGAGCTAAATTGGCAAGACCCAAGTTAAGTTAGTAACACATACAATATACAGTACAAAATGCTTCAATTACAAAAGTTACAATATACAAATTTCTCCACGTTTGCCAACAAAGAGCGGTGATTGTGCTCGCTCGTTGCTGTTGCCCAGCAAGAACCAAACAATACAAGGAGGTCTGGAGTGCGTCTTGCCATTAAAAGAGAGGACTAGGGTTCGATAGCAAGGGTGAAGGACACCGTATTTTGTAAATTTGGACGCCGTAGTTTAAAAATGATGCATACGGTATTTTGTGAATTATGAACGCTGCACTTTGTATATTCCAAAGCCGTACTTTATCAGTCCTGAATGCATTTTTTTAACAACATATTTCAAAAAAAATCGGGCATTTTTGGAAAAAATATCCACTTTCCTTCGTGTTCACAGCACGTAACACAAAACATTTTCGCTAATATTTATTAACAATAAATTAGAAATTCGCGAACACATGCTACTTTTAAGCCAAAACGGAGCTCCAGTGTTGCTGCTACCAGACCGCAATCAAAACTAAACACAGAGGATGGAAAAATTGACCTTTTATCAGGTAGCTCACGTGACAGTGACGTCATCGTACGTCACGATGAGATTGCAAAAATTATTTTTCATA